GCTGGGAGGCAGCAAACAGTTGCTGCCTCCCCACCCCAGCTCCAGCCCCAAAGGGCACAGGGTTGGCACCTGCTGCCTTGCCAGGGCCAGGGCGAGGGCCTGCGCTCCTGGCCCTGCTGCCCTCCCCTGGGCCCTCCAGAGCACAGCGTGTGACCCAGAGTGGCAGTGCAGAGGGACCACACAGGGAAGCTGCCTGCTGCTGTAAACTCCGTACTGCCAGGTCACACTTCCCCTGTGTTCATGGGAGCAGCGCGGGCAGCACACAAGGTTGTGCCCCTTGCTGCTGCCCCTGCCTGCAGGGGAAGTGTGGCCAGGGCAGCGGGAAGCTAGGAGTAGCAGGCAGCTACCGTGCCGGATTCCAGCGCTGCTCTGCAGAAGCAGTGGTGAGGGCAGCACAGAAGGGAACACTGCCCCCACCTGTTGCCTCCTGGGAGCCCAGGGCTGGGAGGCAGCCAGGGCCAGGGAGGCAGCACCTGGCCCAGGTTCTAGGTACCTGCTGAGAGCCACAGAGCACAAGCAGGGCTGGGGGGGTGCACAAGCAGGGCATCCTTCCATATACCCCCCACCCTTGTTTTGTTTTTCTGGCATGCCGGCACTCTGGCACCTTCCAAGGTAGACATTGTGGGCTTTTTCGGCGCTCCGGCCAAAAAACGTTGCCTACGCCTAAGCTATTCAATGTCCATCAAGTTGACAGCATGCATCAATTTTCAAGGGACGAAGTATTTACAACATGACGGGGCTCGGCAACTCACTAACTCAGAGATGCCGAGGAGGTGAAATTAGCTCCTTCCAGCACCAGCAACATAAAGAGACACTTGCATAGGACACCTGCTCTGTGGCTGTGCGGCAAAGTTCAGTTTCCATTTCAACATGGTGCATAAATTATTCAACAACAGGTGCTAGGTAGAAGCAAACAAGCATTAGAAGTTCTTACCATGCGGTGGTCCAGAACGCCATACTGTAGTGGGGCGTGGTGGTTGTCCTGGCTGTACAAGTTCTTGCTAACCACCTGGATGTGGGCCTGCTGGCGCATCTCCTCGGGAGACTTCATCCCAAAGCAGATATGGCTTCTAGAATGGGAGAAGCCGTCACAAACCTTTATTTTAGAGCAGATGGGCAGAGGCAGCCGGAGCAACAACATGGGCACAGCAAGCTCCACCCCCACAGTACCAGGCACCGGCTGTGATCAAGCTTTTCATTTGCCAAGCCGAAAAGCTACAACTCTGTCTTGGGTTCTGCAAGCGGGTAGCCTAGAAGCACAGGCTATGAACAGGCAACCAACAGTGGCTTTTTCCGCCTGCAGTTGCCCCAGGCAGGGCTCAAACCCCAAAGAGGCCGCCAGAAGTGCAAGGATGCCTTGGCCGGTCACCGAGGAGCCAGCGGAGATGTGCAGCGCTCGGGCATGGGGGCTCCACAGTGAAGCAATAGGGACCAAACCGCGCAGCTCTTCCACCCGCAGGGATGGGAAGGAACCCCCGGGCAACCGGACGCGTCCCTGGCACCGCCACGCTGGGGCAGGGACGCGCGTGGGACACGACACACGCGCCCCGCTGTGGGTCACTCACATCTTCTTGGCCACGTCCGTCTCCCTGAACTGCTCCTTCACCATGGTGGCAGTGCGGGGGAGAGGGGACGAAGGAGGCGAGACCAGATAGGTAGTACTAGAGAGGAGCGCAGAACACAACACCGCACTGCAACCAGGCCCAGCCCC